GCAAATGATTTTGCTGAAATGAAAACAGCTCGGTTCGGTGTCGATGTTTTGTGTGTGTGTGTATGTGTCTGTGTTTGCCTGAAAGGGGGAGGCCAATGTGCGTGTGCTTGATCGTCAACAAAACATGCATGGGGTTCAGCATGATTTGGCCGAAAATTTATATAGACCAAAATCAAATATATTATTAAAAACGGTTTTTTATACGCCTTCATGACTACACATTTAAATAAAAATGTGCCAACGAATAGCAGGAGCAGAAAAAAAAGCACATGAACGACGGGTGAAAGAGTCCAAGACTAAGGGATATTGAATTGACTCTCGGACCTCGGCCACAGACTAATACGCCAACAGAATACATAGTGCCCTTATGGCCATTGTGTTTAGATGACTTTTCTGAATTTTAGTAAGCTCACTTCATCATACGATATACACACAGAGTGAAAATTTTCAGTACAAAGCAAATGTAATACATCTTGGGTGTGGCGCGTAAACGGCGCGACTTTCTCTTTATCTATTGTTGCTGTTGATTTTATTTATAGGTTATAGCACTTTATCCCATTTGTATTTTGGTAATTTTTCGGTATTCATATGAAATAAATTCCATGGATTATTTTAATTTTTTTTTCTTTCATTCTTCTGCTTGTTCTCGTTCTAGTACTTTGTTGAAAACAAAACAAGAATTGCCAAAGCTTTTGAATGTTACTCAGCACGCATTCAAATCAAACTAATTTTTTGCATTACAGCGATATTATTATGATTATATTCAATTATTAAATGCTATAAAATAACTGTATCCATGTGTATATGTGTGCTTTTAAAGGCGCTGCTTGTGTTCTGTCTATTATATTGTTTGCCTTTAGCTTTGCCAATTGGCCTGGAAAATATTTTTAAAAAAAGAATGATTTTCGTTCAGTGTGTTTTTTCTTCGGTGATGAATAAGCATATTTCAAACATTTAATTTCGAGCAAATCAAAGTTTAACATATAAGTTTAACATGAATTGAATGTGTGCAAAATGTTCAAAACGTGGTTTGAAAGATGTTGCCCAGATTCTTGTTTTATTTTTTTTTTCTCTCTTATGTCGTCGTCATTTCCAATATTTTTTATGCTCAATATTACTCAACAGTCATATTTACACGATGTATCGTTGCATACGACAATTTTCGGATTTTGGCATACGGTATGTATGTTTGTCAAAATCCCTTCACCAATTTCTATAACCGGATTAAAGTTGAATAGATCCATTCAAAAACATACAAAGCTCTCTACTTCTTTTTCTTTTTTTCCCACTAAATTGACAATATTTGATTTGTTATGCGAGATATTTCGCTTCTTCTTCTTTATGTTCATCGTTGAAAAGCTCTCTCTCCTTTTCTCTGTGGTGCTATTTACATAGCCAAATATAGGGGTTTATCGAAGAACAAACACATTTATGCGCGCTCACAAACCTCTCCACCCCATACGCACGTATTTTTTTAAAAAAAAGTCAAAGACAAAAAAGAGCGAGCGAACGACGACAACGACGAGGAGTTGGGAATGGATGTAGAAAAACAGCGCACAAAAGTTAAAATAAAGTTGCCAGGGTCTGTGGCAGCGTTAGAAACACTGAGCATATATAAATACATACACATAATCCACAATTCGCACACAATGCCAGTGAAGTGGAATAACGAAACACAATCAGAGTGACTTTTACAACTGCATATACCCCCTGCCCATATGCCCGACAAACGCCACGAAATGTAGACGATGTAAAATCGGGCAAAAATGGATGTTCAAGTAATGTTTGGGCAATTACGCGCATTTCGTTTTCTTATGTATGTCTCTGTTCACGTCTTATCGATGATATAACATCAAAACGCAAATGAACACCCGTACACACACTACACATTGAATCCGTTCATTTACACTCCGAACAACAATTATTTATTGAGGGAATATGTAAAATGTATGTTTTATTTTCTATGCTCAATCCATCCATTGGTATGGATTCTTCGATTGTCTCTCGAATTTCATTTTTGAAATATCGTACGCACATCAAGTTTTAAATTGGATTAAGTTCAGCCATGGTGGGCTCTTATATGTATGGGTGTGTGTGTGTCAAACGAAACGACACTTATTGGCAGTGCGTTACCACTAAAACCAATTAAGCCATCTCGTTACGTATACCACCTTGCACTTAATGAAAATTCTTCATGCACTTAAACAATTAGAAAGTTATCTATTCTAATCGACGCCATTCAATACACAAAATTAGTTTTAAATTTCACTCATATCTATTTAAAAAAAATTGTATGCTTTTTATTGGCATTATGATGCAGTTGGCGTGATCATATGTTATCAACACGTCAATGTAAAGCTTGAACGAGCAATTGAGTTTTCAATTCGAGCAGCCAATGCAAGAGACAAAAGAGAATGTTTGCGACTTCAAAACAACTTCATATGCTCAATCACTTGTTTTCATCTTGTGATGTCATTATATTTAACAATGCTTCATATTTTGGCTGATTTTAATATAAAACTTGCCTAACGATAAATCGATGGCATTGTTAAAATATGTGAGAATATTAATTGAAAAAAAGGGGAGTCTAATTGGGGAAATCGAGAGGGTTAAGTAAAAAAGCAAATTGTATTTAGTGTTTTCAAACTTGGGGAGCAGAAAAAAGGTCTTCACTCTTCCAATCAAAAACCCCAGCAAATTAAAAGAATTCTTTTAAAATTTGTGAGGGGTAACACTTCATCAGGGGGTAATCGGAAACCTCGATCCCCTGAAGTGAGGACGTATGACTCGAATTTTTTGTGAACAAAATGCAACCAAAAGCCCACCTTAAATTGATGTTTTGTGTATCTAAATTAAGAGTAAAAAAAAAAGTCCTGTAAACTCAACCGATTTAAATTGATATATTGTTGGTATTTATGTGTCCTGATTATTTGCTCTCATTTTACGCTCTCATTCAAAACGTTCATCATATTTTGATTGTGTGCGCGCACTCGACTTAAGCACACATTAAAAGCATGAACAATAACCAGCATAATTTTCAAGTTCATCGCGTCATTACGAGAAATGATAATAATAAAATTGTATTTTCATAAAGCTCTTTTTTTGTAAATTGTTGTTATTCTTGTTGTTTGTTTATGTGCACATTGTATATGGTACAGTGTTCGTACAGGTTCCGGGCAAATGTTATTAATCTGCCCCCGAAACCAGGGCAATAAAAGCCATTTAAATTTTTAAACAAAAATCATTGAATAAATAACAATGTACTCTCTTTCTCTCTGTCTCTTGTGTGCGCTCGGGCCAAAATGCAGACAAAATCATACATATGAAGCGAGTAATTTTGCGAGAAAATGTAAACATTTTCACATCATACCGTAGAATATAAAGTTTTTTTTTTTCATCCGGATGTATAATCTCTAATGATACACAAAAATGATGTGCACCCAAACAAAACGAAAACGGTGCCAAAGGCTAATGCAGAAAATTGTTCATTTACACCTTTTCGGTTAATTCTGTGTGCAAGTAAATCTGTGCTTTCGCCCTATATATTGCTATGTATGATGATGATGATGATGATGATGATGGTGGTGGTGGTAATGGTAGTTGAATTCCATTTTCGGTATTGTTCAATTAATGGCTATATGGCCTGGTGCTATGGATAAAGTGATGTGGCGACTTTATCGCGCCACCGCACACAACTTTTATCCGGCAATGGTGGAGAGAGAAAGAGCATGTGGGATAGATTGAGTTTGATTTCCGTTTTTCGTATACTTTATATATTGTACGTTTTCTTCCGTTCTGATTAAAGCTGGATGAATGCGTGACGTTTTGTTTTTAAAATTCAGATTAAAATCGGAAACGAACACTTGTGTAGCCTGACATACCACTGCAACGTTCCATGCCGTTTTATATGTGGGCGCTGCATTGCTTCGTTGGTATTTACTGTTGTTTTAAAACCAACAACAATAACCACGAAATTTCAACTGTTTTGCTGCGTTTATTCGTATATTTTGGCATTTAATCGCCAAAAAATTAGAGCTGTACTTGTACACCACTGTCGCCGAATTGACAAAACCGGTGTGTTCCTTCTTCTCTCTACTTTTCTCTTTCTCTCGCGTCAAATCGATTTCAATTTCTCAAATAATTCATTATCTTCGTATTGTTGTGAATCATCGTTTTCTCGAATAATTCAAGCTTATGCTAGAATCGAAGGGAAACGAAATCAATGTTTTTTATTTATCGTTCAAAAGTGTTTTGTATATGACACACAAACTGTGGCAACATTCTCTCTCCTATTATCATTGTTCATTATTTCTTGCCACAGCCGACGCTATCGTCACCGCCTTGAACTGTTTCACATATTCTCTCTTCCATATAATAATTTAACGTTTTCCAAATGAATGCATGCTTCTTTTAATTGGTGCAATTTCAATTTCACTCTCAAATGCTAATTTAATTCATTAAACCACATTAATTCCGGTGTACACATAGACAATTTCAATTTGACTCTCATTCTCTATTTCTATGTGTGTGTGTGTGTATTTATACAAGAATGCTCTCTCGCTGATGCTGATGGTACTTTGTTTACATTGCGCTTAACATAGAGTGGCTTTATTGGTTCAAAGTCATTTATTTAGTCACTTTCTGAATTAATATATCTCAAAATCAACAAGTGATCGGGTTATGTACACATTATGTTTTCGGCGCTCAATTCATTTAGACTATTTGTAATTGCTTCAAGAAGTATGTCGCTTCTCAGTTGCTTTCATTCAATTTGTGTCTGATTTAATTTTACCGTACCTTACCGATTGAATTGTGGTCAGAAACTATAATAATAAGCAATGTATTTGAAATTAAAATTAGTATTTGCATATTTACCTATTCTCATCAATGTCATGATATTCATTGCCATGTGAACGCATTTCGTTGTCGCATGTGTTTTATTAATTTTGTCCGAAGTAGTGATCTATTTTTAATTTCTATATTTATCTTTCATCATACAGTTCGGCAGGTGGCAGCATGTTTGGCGACGTCAACATATCGGAAATCTTGGATTCATTTAGTCATAGTTACGATAAGAGAGTAAGACCAAATTACGGAGGTAAGAATCAATCACAAACAAACAAAAGAAACACTTTAATCTACAAAAAACCAACAATTACGCTAATAATCTAAATACATTGAAATTCGAACGATATACTTTTTCTTTTCAATTCAAGAAATCAAACCAAGAAATCAAAGCTTTTTTAAAACTTTATTCATTCTAAAAAAACATCAAAATAGAATCTATTATATACACATATTTTCATAAAGATAAATTTCTTTTTACAAAAAAATTGTTTTCCCACGAATTCTGTTTTTTTTTTTATAAGAAAAATAAAATCCGTTGTATAAATAGCATCGATAAGGGCATTTAAAAACTATAAATCAAAAATTCGATTTTCAAGTTGTTGATAAATTTGTTCTAGAATTTTTTATTAAATTCAAATCGAGTTTTTTTCGGCTTATGTTTTTTCATTTTCCAAAATTCGAATAGAAATGCTGAATGAAATGAAGGAAAGCTTAAATGAAAGCGAAATACCTTAGGAAATCATTCTTAATCGAGTCTCAAATTGATTTGCTAATTCATCAATATTATGTATTCATCGAATCGGTGTCACTTCCGAAGCAAATAAAAAAAAAAAATATCGAAACTAAACTGATTCGCTATCGAATAAGCCCAGTTCACTTTCTCTGCGTTGATCTCACGTAATTTGAAATAGAAAAACACATTTTTGTTGTTTCTTTTGGTTCTTGTTGTTGTTTCAAACTTTGGTGAATATCAAAAGCCAATGACAATGACAAAATGGATGGAAACAAGACTGAAAAAAATACGCATTACATGGAATCTGAAATCCATTCGACAGATAGTTAAGTAGGTTTGATGGATTCTGTATTAAGAAAAAAATGGGTATAAAAAGAAGATGAACACAAAAAAAAACTTTCTGGAGTGACACTGTTTCATGAATTTCCAAATGAAACCAAAAAAAAAAAAGAAAAAAATACACCCACCCACAAAATTGAGCTACGTTAGGGCGTTCTTACGTAATAAAATAAATTGATTTTATGGGGATCGAAAAGATGAAGAAAGACCAAAACAAGAATAGGCATTCATCCTGTCTGAGCGATTGAGAGAACGAGAAAAACACACAACAACACAATTTTTCAACATTCAATCCGCAGTATTGATGTAATCAATTTGAAAGTCGAAATGTTGTTTTTTCAACTCGATCTCTTTATCTTTCTTCATCCCGATCCTGAACACATAGAAGAAATATTCATATAAATTAACAAGCACCGCTACTGTTTCAAACAAAATAGTATCGTCTTTAATTAATTATTCAATATTATTTAAATTTTTTCGTTTTGTTTTGTGAGAGCTTATACTGTATAAGTGACGATAGTAAAGTTTACGATGGAACTTAAGTGGATTTAAGAAATAACATATGGCTGCATCCAGTTATGGATGGGCCTGTAATAAAACATACAATATTTTTTCTATTTTCTCTCTATTTTTTCTTTATATTTACTTATCGTTTTCGATTTAATTCGTGTTGTTGCGCTATTTCGTTTCGAAAATTGCATCTCAGCGATCAATGTGCAAGAATAACGACAATATTACTTATAAAATGCGAACATTTTAATTTTCTTCATTTCCATTTATTTTCATAATGTATATATATTGTGTACATAAGAGCGGAAAACATATGGCGAATACAATTCAAATTCACAATTCGATAAATTGCGGTTAGTTGATAAAACAACGGAAATTGATTTCGACCAACCGGGGATAACACACATACAAATTCGATTGCAATAGTTGTTCGATATTTTTGCGTTAAATAATTGTGCGATTCAATTGATTTTATTTGGTTGGTCCACACGAGAAATCAATTAAAATGCCATTGTCGTTGTACATTGGCGCACATGCACATCGACACAGTGAATTTGATTTGATGTTCGATCCATTGTTTGCATTCAATTTTCAATTAATTTGAATTCGTTTTCTTAATTAAATTAAAATTTTCAAAATCTCAAATTCTATCTACGTATAACGTATTAGTTATGAATTTAACATTTCTGTTGTTATTGTTGTCTACTGGAGTTCGATTTTTGTTTCCTCCAACAATTGACTTCAAAATCGATAGAGATAGTTTTATTCGAAGCGATTGTCATTTTTATTATTTCGTAATTTTAGAGCGCGTAAAAAATATTCGAAAAACCATTTAAATGTTCGTTTTTAATTGAATCAAATTCTGTTTGAAACAAAGAAAACCACAACAAATCTTCCATTAAAAGACGCACGGTCACAATTCGAATTTGATACAACCAACATGAAAAGTGAACATTTCTTTTAAAACGAACATAAAAATACCCACACAACCCATGCCAGTGAATTCTAAATAGAATACATTAAGACTTTCAATCTTCAGATGAAGCGAGATGATAAATGTATAAAACATTTTAATTTTATTTTATCGAATTGAAGTTATTTTCATTTCATTTCACTCTTAGTTTTAAATCAGTTTATTGGTAGAATATGAAACCATAAGGCAAGAAAGGGGAAGCATATATTGCTCATTCTTCTATTGTTTATTCTTTTATGTTGTTTAATTAGCTAGACGATAATAAAAATCGGACCCAAATCAAAAGCAAACGAAGATAAAACCAAAAAAAAAAAAAAAACAAAAAAAAAACAATCAAATAATAATTATAAGAAACATGAACACATGACAAAACGAATATATCCGTATTTCAGGACCCCCAGTTGAAGTTGGCGTAACGATGTACGTGCTGTCGATCAGTTCGCTGTCTGAAGTGAAAATGGTACAAATATATGACTTCGTACCTTAGCAAACCAAAACCAAAAAAAAACCAAATCAAAAAATATTTAGCAATATAATAAAATGAATTGCATAAGATTTTTTGCTGTCGATCCTTTTCTTTAGTTATATTCATATATATTACATCCACCATTATAATAATAGACCCACCATTAAAACCACACAAAACCAATTCAGTATAATTATAATAATCATTATTTCGTGCGCGATGTGCGCGCTCGCACCAAACGACACTCACGCCAATGGTTGTGTGTTGTGTGATATCACTCTCTTTCTATCTGTTTGACATTTCATTCGATCGGATTGTCATCGATGAAGAGCAGAATGTAGAGAAGACAAGAGCGTTCGTTTATCCGCTTTTCAATTGATTATACATATTCCAAAGAGAGACAAAATATATATATATACACGGACACGATCACACATCACAAGAGCCATCGTCGTCATTGTGTCCCATTGACGATTTAATTTCGTCATCATCATCATTTTTTTTATACGTGCGCGCTCATCTCTATGTTAATATATCTAGTTATATTCAAAATACAATATATATCACATATTATTCATATAACAGCATCTCTACCTAATCCTATATATTGTTAACAACCAATATGCAGATAGAGTATCTGATTGAATTTATCTCGTTTGATTTATGTTTTGTTCCGTTTTATATTTGAGTTTTCACGCAAATTTGTTTGATTGTATATTTTGTTTCCCTTTCGTTTTTTTTCTCTTGCATACCAAGTACCGTAATTCAATATCCATATCACTATTTGTAACTAAATTAACGCATCAGATATGCGAGTATGTGAATATGCTCAAAATTTAACAAACAAACCAACAAAAAAATTTAATAATAGATCATTAATACGGAGATTACAATTTTTTTGTGATTTTTATCAATTATTTTTTGCTGTTCAGATTATTCATTATTGGAATTGTCGTTTGTTGCAATTTAGATATTGAATTTCGATCGACACTTTTCCGTCCTGATTATTTTTCTCCATTTTTTTTGTTCAATTTCACGTAACGATTGTTATTCCCGGCGAGTTCATTTCATTTCGAAATGACTTTGCAAAAATGTACACCACGATTTTTTTTCAATCAATTTGTTTTTTGTACCACTTAAAAATTCAGATTTAATGATTCACAGAATCAACCCTCAATGTTGAAACACACACACAAATTACACACGCCTTATCTGAGTTTTGAATTGAACAATCTCGAACGAAATTATATGTTAATCATTTAAAATCTATTTGTATTTACTATTTTGCGCTATTATTAACTTATATCGTTCATTTTGTCGGTTATGGTGTTGAGAGTATTTATCATTCTCTCTCTCTACGTATTTTCAGTTCGATTTCGTTTGGTTTTTATTTTGTTTCATAACTTATGCTGTAAATGTTATATTATAGAGATACGTTATTGCTTGAGCATTGTTAGCCTTAGGTCATAAAATCTCTATCTATCTCTCTCTCTTTCCCTTGCTCTCTTTCATTTTCTTTAGGTTTTGAGTTTTATGTGTTTAAACTTTTGTAACCATTCGATCTGTTTTCTCATATTTCTGGCTTCCCCGCCGCCTTCAACTCGTTTCTCAATTGAAATAAGAGCATCTTACTTGGTTTTATTCAAGCGTATAGTTTTACTTTTCGTTCTCATTTTTAGTTTTCGATATATATTTTTTTTTAAGAAGCAGTATGTGCCTTTTATTGTTTTCATTTCAGCTCTGGATCTCAATTCAATCTCTTCATATCGTCAACAAAATAATTTATCACATTGAAAAATTACCAAATATGCGCGGTTTCTAACATCAATTGTTTTTTTTTTATCGGTGTGCCATTTAAAAGTTTGTTTTTTCCGCCAAACGGCAGCCATTCTCAGTTGTTGTTGGTAAGCTGATTTTTGTACTACGATCTTTTCAATTAAATCACTTAAGAGTTCAAGCGCTTCGAGCAATACTTCGATGCATCTTCCACTTTAGATTAAGTAATTGAGAGTGAGAGTTTAAATTTCATTTTAGTTTTCAAGTGCCACACAGAAGAGTTTCAAGAGTACTTTTTATTACTGTTTTTTCCCTTTTATTTGCGTTCTCCGATTTCTTGTCAAAGTTTGAGTCAAAACCATTTCAATGTTGACGTCTTTTTTCATTGCATAATCAAAACGAAGAGAGAAAAAGTACAATCACATGACTGATTGGAATTGATGAAATGATTTG